CAAAGGATTCATTTAACAAATAGTACTGGGACAGTTGGTTAGCACCCTTGAAGATTATCATCATTTCACATTAAAAAATTCCAGATAGATGAAATATTTTAAGTATAAAAAAGTTATTAAAAATCAGAGAAGATAGTTTACAGAAAATAAAACGGCCTTTAAACATAAGAAAAGATGCTTAACCTCACTTAAGAGAAATGTGAACTAATACTGTTAGATACCTTTTTTCACCCATTGTTGGCAAAGATGAGAACTTTTTTATAATACATCAGGTTGGTGAGGGTAGGAAAACAGGCACTTGTGCTCCGTGTGTATATATGTGTTTGTGTGTGTGTGTGTGTGTGAATGTGAATGATATGAACAGGTATTGTTTCCCTCTGTTTATGCTCTTTTCAAACTTTTCATTTGGGAATAATTTCAGATTAACAGAGCAGTTACAATAATAACACAAATACCATATATTCCTTAACATAGATTCAGCTGCTAATAACATACTGTCGCATTTGGTTTTTCACTTATGTGCTCTCTTTCACGTATGTATGGACTTGTGTATGTTTTTTTTCCCTGAACTGTTAGAGAGTAAGTTGCACACATTATTACCGTCTTCCCCCAACACCTCAGTGTGCATCTCCTAAGAAAAAGTAGTCTTCTACACAGCCACAGAACAGTTATCAGCCTTCATAAATCTGTAATGTCAATGCACTATTCATAGTCCATTTTTCATATTCAATTGATCCAATTCTTAGCTTCACCCCGCCCCCCCCATACAGGATCCAATCTAGAATCATATGCTGCATTTAGTTGCATATCTCTTTAGTGTCCTTTCATCCACAGCTGCTCCTCAGCTTTTCTGTTGACATATTTTTGAGAACACAGCTCTCCTGCTTTCTCTTTTTTTTTAAATAGAATGTGCCTTTCTTCGGGCTTGTCTGCTCTTTCCTCATGATTAGATTTAGATTACGCAATTCTGACTGGAATATGACATAAATAAGTGTGCTTCTCAGGATATCACGTCTAGAGGCATACAGTGTTCATCTGCCCCTTAGTGATTTTATTTTGATCACAGTGTTGTCAGATTACTATATGATTGTTATTTTTTTTCCCCTTGTATTTGAGCGATCTGTTGGGAAACACTTTAAGATCATAAAAATTTCCNTGACATAAATAAGTGTGCTTCTCAGGATATCACGTCTAGAGGCATACAGTGTTCATCTGCCTCTCAGTGATTTTATTTTGATCACAGTGTTGTCAGATTACTATATGATTGTTATTTTTTTCCCCTTGTATTTGAGCGATCTGTTGGGAAACACTTTAAGATCATAAAAATTTCCTGCTCATTAAAGTCTTTCCTCCTAGATTTAGCATCCACTGATTATGCTTGCCTAGACTAATCTTTACCGTGATGGTTGTAGAGTGAGGATTTTCTGACTTTAGTACCCCTTCCACATTTATCAGTCAGCACTCAGCCTCCAGCTGTAAGCAAGACTCATACTTTTTTTATGGGAGCGTAAACTCTTACAACTTTTAAAAAGCAATATGGTAATCATAATTTAAAGTGCACATGTCTTGACTCAGCAGTTTCACTTCTAACACTTTATCCTATGAGTGTGTTTGTGCTTGTACACAAAGGCCTGTGTACAAGGACATTAATTGTAGTATTGTTTGTAGTAACTAAACTCTGGAAATTTCCTCAGTGTCCATCTATAGGTGATTCTTTAAAAGGTGCTACGTTCATACAGTTGAGTGTGCTGCCTTTAAAGAACAGGTAGATATATATGTATAGATAAGAATAGTTCTCCAAAGTGAGAAAAGTTGGGTATAGAAAGCCTGTATAACCTGCTACTATTTTTGTTTTCTTTTCTTAAAAAGAGACGTAGTTAAATCTTTATACACAAGAGGATAACGGGGGTACTGAGGATTGGGATATATAACTGTACTGTTGAAATTTTTATTATTTATCTGCATACTTTGTTTTTAAATAAACTAAGATACATTTTTTAATAATAGAAATTATGAATGAATTTATTTATATATTCTGGATGAAGGACTTACTAACAAATGGGGGAAATCTTAAGGGAAAGGACTAATGGAGCAGCAGTGATAGGAAAAACTTTAGGAAAAGTAAGGACAACAAAGATAATTAACTGCTGTGTATTAAGGTCTCATTCAAATAAAGCACTGAGGCCCAAATGAATAAATGGACATTAC